GACCCTTTCTTTTTCACCCACCCTTCTTTTGCTGGTGTGTTGGTTGGTTGACTAGCTTGTTGTAATGCAAATCAAATATCGACGGCCTTTGGAGAAAATACAGGGTTGTGTGTCTTTGGTTGCTTGGTTTGTTGAATAATTGGTGGATTACCAATGCAAGGCAAATATCGATAACATTTGGGGAAAACACAGTTTGGTCGCTTGGTTTGCTGGTAATTTGGTGGGCTATCCACCCTTTGTTTTTTACACCACTTCCTTCGATTGATGTGTTGGTTGGTTCGGCCTGCTTGGCTTGTTGGTTGCTTGGATTTGGGGAAAGCACAGATAATAATGGATGAATCATGGGTAAGGAGAAAAATGTATTTTTTTTGTGGGTTGGTTGTTTGGTTTCTTTGTTGTTGATTGATTGCGTGATATAATGTTTGATGGACTTGTATTTTTTTCTGTGTGTGTGCTTGGTTGATGGATGGATGGATGGATGGATGTTATATAAATAAAGGCGGGAGGGGGTGCGGGGGAGGATGCAATGTTTCCCCCACAATGCGAACCAAATATCGACAGAATTTGGGAAAATACAGGGTTGTCTGGTTTGGTTACTTGGTTTGATGGTTGCTTGGTAGGCTACCAATGCAAAACAAGAATCGACAACATTTGGGGAAAATTGTTGGTTGCTTGGTATATTTGCTGCTGGTGGGCTATCCATCCTTTCTTGTTTATTATCCTTCCTTTGGTTGGTGTATTGGTTGGTTCGGCCTGCTTGGCTTATTATTTTTTGGATTTGGTTTGCTTGGTGGTTTTGTTGGCTTGGCCGCGTTGTTGCTTGGTTGGTTGGCACTTCATTGATGGATATATGGATGGATGGGTATTATGTAAATGGGAAATACGCAACGTCTCCCCTGCAATGCAAAGTAAGCCTCCCCCGCACGGGATTTCTAGTATCTACAGAACTTGGGGAAAACACGGAATCATGTGGCTTGGTTGCTTGTTTGTTGGTTGCTTGGTTGGTCGTTGGTTTGGCCGCGTTGTTGCTGGTGCAGGGACAAGCGGTGGGAAATAAAACGAAGGTTCTCTGTACAAGCTCCAGGGTTACGTGTTTCATGGGCGGAGGGTTTGGGTCGAGGATGAAAAAGAAAAGGTGAAGGGTGAAAAAAAAATACAAGATAATAACCGGTCAAGGGTGAAACAAACATGTCACAGAGTGAAAATGACAGAGTGCAGGGTGAAAATAAAAGATTTTGGAAGGCTTAGGAAGAATCCAAAGGGTAGGGAAACACATAATCTTAAAATATTTTTCGAGGGTAGGAAACATATATAAATTAAAAAACAATATAAAATATCAATCTGGAATTTGTTATCATTTAAAAACATAAATGTCGAATAACCTAATAATAATTCCATAAATATATAATAGATTATATATCTATAATATATTAAAATCTTTGAATTATTATTCTTTATATTTTATATACATATTATTTTATTTCAAATATTTATTACAATAACATATAACATAAGAAAATATATATTAATAATATATTCCATCCTCATTATATTATAATAAATAAATAAAGAATATTAATAATCAATAAAAACAATCTAAATATATATTGATTAAAATAACAATAATATATATAAATATATTTATTAAACATACATGCTTAAAATATATAGAAATGATTTAAACCTATTAAAAATAAATATATATAAATATATTTTCTATATTTCTAAATATATATTAATTGTTACATTAAAATTATTCATTAAATATATATATATAAATAAAATATCTACATTTCATTTCAAGGCCGGCAGAGGTGAATCTGCCCGTGTTGGGTTGCGGTAGCTGCAAGCTCCGGACGTTTCGGGAACATCGTGCCTAAATCCGCAAGGTCTCATGTGTCAAAAATTGCTCCGAGCAAATCATGAAAATATATCACCGTCGAATTTCGGTCATCTGGCGATGGTCCAGCCACGGTCTAGCAGATGGGTTGGCGCCATCGTCGGTGTTGGAGTCTTTCTGCAGGTGCAAATCAAAGCATGTAGTTCTCACGAGCTATTCATGAAGGTCTGGCGGTATTTGTCTCCATCATCTGCAATAAGGAGATTCAATGAGGAATGCAAGATCGAAATATAATATCCATTCTAAGACACAGGACCTAAATGAAGGATATTGGCCAAAATATGAAAGTTGTGCCATGTGACCGAAAAACCTTGGGCTTCATCGAAGATTAGGATCAACATCTCAATTCGATTCCAATAGATCGATTCACAAAAGACATAATCCAAATTGGGAAAACGATCAATCTGCACATAAATCAAATTATTGGGATGAAAGAAGACATAAACATATGAAGCATTTTGATGCCATTCATCTATCAACTCTTGCAAGGAGACATTGCAGCAAAAACGGGGGAATCGTTGAATGAGGGAGGCATTTCTGTTATCCAGCGGAGGTCTGGTCAACATCATTATGGCCAAGAAATTGAGCTCTAAACCAACCAACAAACTCGGCTGCATCCTGCTAAATGTCACCATATTGGGGAATCCATGGATTCACAGTATCCCCAAGTGCAGCATAATCAAAAAGATTCAATGGTTATTCCCCCCATAGGTCAATAAATGGGTAAACTTCTGATGCCAAATACCCCAATGGTCATTGCCAAATCCATCATATATCCAATTGGTCCAAAGTTGAGCTCGAAGAAGATCGAGGACATAACACATATTGCTAGACGATATATCAACATTTCAATTTCTATGCTATTGCCACGGCCAAGGAACCTGTCTGCAATCCGGTTAGTTTATGCCTCATAATCACCAATTGAATCAATTCAATATCGTTCAATTAAATGATCAATTAATGAAATTCTCTGCTCTCTAGACTCCTCATCGACAAATCGAGACGCCATAAAATTAAGAACTAATGATCATCCGAAATTTCATCCTTGGACAATGGCTTCATAATTATAAATATATGTCACCTCCGATTTCTAGGTAAAAATACACTGCAACATCTCCTACAATTAACCAGAAATCAATAACTAAATAAATATTGGGCCAAAAGATCTAAAATAATTTATTTATTTTTTTATATATTCGAAAATATGTAATTCGACGATCAAATTTTTACGAATTTAATGGTTATTTATACAAATATTCTTTTTTTAATCCGAACATAATCATTCGATTAAATATTTAAATAATTTCATTTTAATATATCCTTTAATTCTTCGAATTCTATAAGAATCTGAAAATTAATTATCAATTTTATATTTTCAATATAAAAAATATATATATCAATAATTCAAATTAATATACCATATCTTTAAACAAATTATATTACATAATTTAACAAATCAATAATATCCAAATATCAAATCCAATAAAATAATAATTGTTTTTTTTTTAAAAAAACATCTATATTAATTTATAAATTCCTAAACAATCAAAATATACCTATATCACAACTAACCAATACACAATCCAATTCAATCGAATTAAATAAATATATCAAATCAATCGAATTAATTAAATATATATATTTTGATTATTTATTGATCTTTATATAATATATATAAATATATTTAAATAATCTATATAATATATTTTTTTCCTCGGAATATCAAGAATATGTTAATTATTATTAATATATTAATTATTAATATATTAGTTTTGATTTACATTGATTTCGTATTCGATTGATTTCTTCGACAATTTGTTTATTGGATTGTACCTAAGTGGCCATGCATATTTATCGCAATTTGATAGGATTTCTTGTTGAATATTTTGGATTCAATAACATTAGATTGAAAAAAAAAACATCAAATTAAAAAAAAAAATATATTGTAGAACTAAATAATTCACCCTCAAACAAAATGCCTCGACAATCTGCATGTCCAGAATTGTCAAGAAACCAAGGACCTTTGCCAGGAGCGTGCAACTCATGACCTCCGATTTAGAGTCAAGTTATGTCCTGACTAGTGTTCATGGTGTACAAAATCTGCCAAACTCACCGTGAAGATTTCATCGCAGCTTCGCTTCGGTCTTCACCCCACTTGGGTCCCCCCACGTGCTGCTGAACCTGGCATCCGCTCGCCGAACAAAATGGCGTGACGCGAGGCCCGGAGTCCATGACACCGAAACGAAGGACGTTGTTATGATGTTATAGTAAAATTCCGGTGGGGTCTAGATTGACCAATACTTTGGTCAATATCAACTGCTCGAAGCATGATTGACTCAAGCCATTAACAATCACTCCCAAATCTGCCCTGGCCTACCCGGCGGGGGACCAAAAACAACAAAGAAACAAGCAAACAAACAATTGCCTTGCTACAGGTGCGCCAAGTCGAAGCATCTGGCTCCACCTGAATCGCTTGATCACACAAGAGTTTAGGATGTTTTGGGATCCCCCTTGTCTGGTGGCAAGTCCTGGCAGCTTTTCCTTTTATACAAAAAGACGGCTATGAAATACTTTGGGCATCATTATTCTCTATAAAATGAATAGCCGTCCTTTCTATAAAATGCGTAGCCATATCCATGCCTCTCAAAACCAAAAGGCTACAGATCACAGCTTGGATTTATAAAATGCTTTGCCTTGAATCGATACCACAATATCACCTCCAGCAGACTGTATTAAAAAAATGAGTTGGCCTCAGAATACTGAGACCATATGCGCAGTCATTTAACACAAAACGCTAGGATTTCTATAAAATGGTGTTGCTGTAGAATCATAGACAATCATCAGGAACCAACAGTTTTTTTTGTTTTAGGACATGAGTTGTCTCACTTTGGCATGGTCTTAGCAGCAATCCTCCTTTCCCCAGTTGATCTTTCTATGAAATGATGTTGTGTAGATTTATGTTCCAATTTCCAAACTCATGTTTTTATAAAATGACCTGTGCCCAGATCATTTCATAGTGGAAACAGATACTTATTTCATAGAGGATCAATCATGGGGGATGTTTTGGGTACCCATGATCGATCCATATCGATCCTATAGCCTACAGATCACGATCCATCACTCTTGTTGCTGCTGCTCGGGTGTTCCGTGTTGCCTGTTGCCTCGCAGGTTGCTAGAGTGCCATGGAAGGGACATTGAAAACCATTGCAAATACATAAGAATTCACAGCTGCCCAACGAAACGACCACCAAAGCATATTGGCTCAACTCGTAGAGAGAAAAATCAGACTGAGCAACCCGCAAGGAGCAACATCCCATGGGATCTCCTCATTGTTTTACCTGTTCTTGTGCTTTTCGATTTTCTTCCGTCTGACTGGTCCTTCGACCATGTGGTCGACAATGTCGGAATATTGTACGTTCCTCTGAAAGCACCATCGAGCATCCAATTCCCTTGGAATGACCGGGGCTGCACACTCGAGCGTGCAGCATCTTCTCCAAGCTTGCAAGCAACTTTTCCTTGGAAAGTGGAGGAACCATGAGCAACAGGCAACAGGTCTGTTCAACATGCGACAGAGGGAGAACTGCTGTGATATTGCACAAACTCCACTTTCCTATCCCCGAAGGATGAAAAAGCAACATCCACAAACTGAGCTGCACATGTCTACATGGTGTCTACACGGTCCAAAACAGCCGTCCCCCCTCGTGCCATCCCGTCCCAACCGTTGGCCGAGCGGAAACGAGTCCCGCACGGCGTCGCCCGTTCTGGCATAGGCATCCAGGAGCCTTCCGGAGCTGATGGACAGGGGAGTGGAGTTGGGTGAATGAATCTATGTTTCGGATTGTTTCGGTCAGTGGTGGTTTCGGCAGAAGTGGTTTTGGTCTCAGCGGAAAAACTGAGCTTGTACAGCTCTTGTGTCTGCGTTGAGACCTCAAAGTCGGACTTGACTCGAGCGAACGAGCCAACGTGGTTCCTGGTTCCTGGTCACGGCCCAACGCGCATTCAAGGCTCCTAAGAGGCTCCGAATCAACTCCTAAGAGGCTCCCAGAGGGGATCTGAGGAGAGTTCACCTCTGCGACCCCGAGGCGAAAAAACGCTCCGTCCGTGTCAAAGTTCTACGGCATATCTTCGCAACTATCGAGGCCCCGGCGGCATGTAGGAGAGCAAGTCAGGCCTACAGGCGAAAAGAGATGCTTCATCTGGGTCCGGCCAAGTTGCTCAACGTGTCCAGGCTCACCAAGTAAAGTGGCGCCCAAATGTCTTGGGTCAAAGCGCCAGGGCTTTTGACACTACTCGGCTTGTCCTTTTGGACTCACAGGAAGGACACATGAAACACATGAACGCTCGCAACCCCCAACTGCGGAATCCGTCCATGCCTGCACCTCGCTTTGCGAAGCTCCTCCAAACTCTGCTCTGCCCTGGCAAGTCAGCCACAGAAAGAGCTGGGTATACCCGAAAATGACTATTCGGAGTCATTTGGGAAGTGCTAGGATAGTTTTCAGGAGAATATCCTATAGTATCGTAGCATCATAATCCATCTCAAAGTCAAGACTCCCAACACGTGGATCCTGCCAACACCCTCCGAGACGCGGCAGTGCTGTGGAATCTGTGTAACGTGGATCCTCTTCCCAAGCGGCGACGTCCTTTCAAACGGCGGAGGGAGTTACCCCACTTCTCTTCACCCTCACAAGAGTCAGCAGGTTGTCATAGAAAGAATGATACGCTTCCCTGTTTCTCATTCTTCGGCAGAGTGCACGGAGGATTTCTTTGGGGAGAAGTGCACATGGCGTGGACTAGATCAAAGCAGTGAGCCTATTTTTGTACCACTTGGCTTCACAAGATACATCTTCAGAAACAAAAGCTCCGGCTTTTACTCTCTCTTCTCCTTTTTGAAATCACAAAGCCGGGAAAACCACGGCTTGGCGTTTCCATGGACCATGGGCCCCAAAGGATCTGGATACATGCACATCTGGGACGAAATCATCCACCCGGAAATAATCATCACCTTTTCTCTTCTTAACGAAACATAGAAACTATACAGTAGAACAATGTAGAACAGTACTGCAGATGGGAGCGCGCTACTTCGGACTTGGCTCGGCTCTTGGTTTTCTTCGGCCCAGTGGTTCCAGATGTTTCCACCAGCTCGGCTCGGATGACTCGCGTCGTTCAGCAAGGGCCAGCCTCTCCAGCTCGCCAGCTCTGACTTGCCCCAAGATCAGCGTGTTGAAGGAGACGCGGTCGGGCCTCAAGAAAAAGAAGGCGGGGCGGAACGGCCCACCCACAGGAACGGGGTGACAACTATGAGGTGTTTTGGGTGTTCTTGGCGGACAGGGCATCAAAAAGAAAGCATCGTTCACCATATATACATAGATACAAAAATCAAATCTTGCCGGAACTTGAAGTACAAGAACTGTTTGACTGCATCAAAAATACCAGGTGATGCATTTGGGAAAACACCATGAAATCAAGACCAGCCCGAGGTTTCGGATCAAATTGAAAAGACAGATGAACCGATGTGTCTACCACCAGTTCTTGTTCAGTGGGGGTTCCTGTTCTTGCAAAAAAATGGCAAACGTTTATCCACTGACTGGGTAGGTGGATCATGAACTCTGACAGGGCCATCACTGTGTTTTTTTCACCACGCCTGGAAGGCGTCTGGGCTCAGCAAACCGTTCTGAGCTCGGGGGCTGTAGCCGCTGTCGTCGAAGCTCTTGGAGCCACTGCCTCGGCGACGATCTGCCGAACCCGTGCGATCTCAAAGAGGTCTCCATATACACGGGGGACGGCACCTTCAAAGGGTTCGGCACCTTCAAAGGGGTCACCAATGGAAGCCCCTACACTACTAAGGGACCTGCATTGGACACCCCTTGAAGGTCCAGGTATGTATATATATATACCCTCCCTGCAACAATTATGGAAGTGGACAACATTGTCTTCCAAGGGGCCACTGTCCACTTCCATGATTATTTCAGGGAGTGTGTATTATATATATCCACAAGGATTTCCATTGGCATATATTGGCATCCTTTGCGTTCACCGATCTTGAGCTTGGAGCGCAGTTGAGAAAGACCTGCTGGCTCTGGAGGCTACAGGTTTGAACAGGGTGATCCAACGCTTAATGGGGGTTCAACGCATTGCTTGCCAAAGCCAGGTCTTTACTACCGGTTTGGCTTTGCCTTGTGATTTACTGAGACATGTTCACACGTCCTATTCTCACAGCCAAGTGTTTCCTGTCTCGGCACGCCCTTCTTCAAGCCTTTCCTTTGGTAAGTCCTGCCTTACACTCAGTTGCTGTGGAGCGAGCCAGTCTACCGCTGTATAGTACCGGATGAATACCCATTAGTGGATGAGTCCGGATGAGTCCGGATGAGTGATGAGTGGAACTCGTCCTTCACGGTGACGAAGGACCGGTCCAACCTTCCGCTCGGTTTCGGTTCACAGGCGGACGAAGAGATCCACCAAGGTGGCGGAACCTTCGTGCCATGTCCTGGATGTTTTCATGAATTGAGGGCTTCCCTTTGTGTGGTTTCACCCAATCCTTGTGACATGGACTGAGAAAAAGAAGCAAAGGGGATCATCATGGATCCGTCTCCAGTCTCTCGTCTCTCGGTGCTCCAGCTCTTGTCTGCTGCAATCACCTTGCCTGTGCAGAAAGGAACTGTACATGGCGGTACAAATGCATAGGAACACAACCAAAAACAAGGGATGGACGCCCCTCACCTCTCGCGACGCCCTCGTGGGACCCATACCAAAAACAAATACCCTACAGAGTTCATCTGATCCATATGAGTTCTAATGTCAGCGCCATGATCAGGCAATTTCAAAGAGCGCTGAATGAAGCTGCTGCTCCGCCTTCTGATATTATATCAAAAAAAAGGTCTACCAAATTTGAGTGTGTTTCTTTGTTTGGGGGTACGTACCATATATTATGCATTTAACTCATTTCCTCCAATATATCATCTGACTGAAGAAGGATGCGAAAGAGCCTGTAATTCTCAACACAATGTCAGTCCACCATCTGAAACTCGACTTGCAAACAGCCCTGATTGGTGAATGTTTGGAGGCCAGGAGTCGGCCAGGGGGTCTCTCATTGACAGGCCCGCAGTGAGCTCTGCTCTTGACCTGCCAGTGGAGGCGAGCAGGACGTTGAACATCACCAAGTTTGGTTGCACTGATTCGTTCACCTCGGAGCGCACTTGTGCCGCGGGCAGGAGTCGCCCGGCGCGAAAAAAGAGCCAACGAAGCTGCACGCCCGGCGGCAACAATGATGGCGGCAACGAGTTTGCTAAGGGAAGAGCCATGGTTTGCAACCATCTCTTGGCCTGCTCATCAGCACCTCGACCTTGGAGCTGGTCATTCTGTCTTCTTTTGGGCGGAACATGACAAAGCTAGGAGTAGAACGAAAGAGGATTTGTCATCATTGCAGTGGTATAATATGGCCGTGGCATGGCAAGATTCCCAAAACCCATCGGGGAAAGCATGAGTTGCTCCAGTTGGCACTTCGACATGCATTCGACCTGAAGAATTGGCCCTTGCTTGAAGCACACTTCGGTCAAACTCCAAAAAGACACATTTCGACCTGGAGAAATGCCAGTCCAATCCCGGAATCACCCACAGGCTGGATGGTTCGGCGTGGAGTGCTGACTGCTGACAGCTGACTTCTTGATATCAATAACCTGGACCTTCAGTTCGTGACCTCTTTGGAGTCTCTGTTTGTGACGATTCGTGACCTCATTCTAGGATCTCAAGGATGGTCACTTTGAAGGTCCTGGAATATGGACGATTCATCAATCTTCTTTCTACAAACACCGCACCCATTGAACAAGATTAGCTTTTGGCATAGTGACAAAGCTCTTACCGCCGGCGAGTGATGCACACAAAGCTCTTACCGCAGCACCATTTCAAGAGAAATGGATCCCGAACCGCCCAGGACCTAAACTTCCACACTGAACCTGAACCTCTGAAACCCTCTGTAAACAACAAGATCAAATTCTATAACACGAAGACTAAGAGTGTGGCTCACCAGGCTTTCCATGAGGCTGGTGTAGGTGATCACATCAGGTGACAAACTTGCATTCCGCATCTCAGAAAGCCACTGGTCCTTGGAAGTGGAAACCAAGCACTGGGCCTTGGTCTGTCTGGTCTGTCCAAATATGTCTAAATAATAGCACCACTATATAAGATGTGAAGCTACAACAGGCTGCAGCATTGTTGGCAAAACACACATGGACACTGGACACTGCAAAGGTTGGGAAGATCCCTTGCCTCTCAATCTCTGTGCGACCGTCAGTTCAAGAAAAGTCAAGTACCTCTCAATCCCTTGCCTCTCAATCTCATGCTATGTCAAGTACCTGAGCCATATATCAAGACTCACAGGTTTTACAAAGTCCAGTTTTTGATACAGCCCAAACCCTAAGCAGTGCAGGATTATGAGAACCATACCTTTTCGCAAACCATCCCTTAGTACCTCAGCTAGCTGAATGAAGCCAAAACACCACGCTGTCTTCGTCTTCCGTGGCTGCCGCTGCATTGATCAGGTGTTGGTACGAAACCACATCTGGAAGGGAAGGAGGCGTCGCCTGTGGTCAGTCAGACGTTTGTGCAAACGATCTTTCTCTGCCGGCTGCTGTTTGGTCAACCCCCAACCACAAGGGTGCTGCCAAACGTGTATGAAACCGACCCTAAAAACCCAACATGTTGGAAGACTGATAGTGACAATCTTGCTAACCCTTTCAAACGATCATCTAATTCTGCTGGAAATCAGCTTATGAATGTGCAACTCAAGTGGCTTGTCTCCAAAGGAGGAGTACCTGCAACAAGTACAAACAACAAATTGGTGGAGCACGCACCCGGGGTCAACATTGAAGGCTTGTTACATCTTGACAAACATCCGCGAAAAAGGCTCAGTCGAGGATGTTCAACAACACTGCATCATTGAGGGCACAATATGACTTGTTTCTTCAGATTGAATTGTTGCTTTCTCCTCACCCACGATTGCAGAGGACTCGCCGAAAGTTACCCTTGATTTGGACTCTGGACAAGCGTAAATCACGCATCACTCCCATCACTCTCCATCACCCATCACTTCCCCAATCACCAAAAAACATCGCCACCAACTTCCTCTCCCTTCCACTTCCCTCCCCTTCTTCCCAGCAAAAACATCTCGACGAAGCACTCCGCAAGGCACTCCCGCCAGGTGCCCGCGCTCCGGTCCTTTCCTTTTCAACCGATCGGTTCAGCTTTGTTCGGCAGGGGCGTTCCGCTGCTTTCTTTGGACCAGCTGCTCCATTCGGGCCGTGCGCGGACCGCGCGCGCGCGTGCAGAACCCACCGCTGGATGTGCGCACACCCGGTCACTCCGCAAACCAGAAGCGCGTCCGCACGTTTGGCGAGCGGTAAGGGAACAAAGGTTCCAAACCGCTGCTGTTGTTCACACGCCAGGTGTCGGTGACCAGTGCGGCCGCCACGGTGAGCCAAAGACAGGTGGGGAGAAGGAGCTCACCGGCCAGGGGCACCACCTGCGACTGCGCGGAAGGCCTTCACTTTGAAGCAAAGGATGTATTGAAAAACCATAAGAAAAGCGCCAAACATCAGGTTGACGTATCAGGTTGCCAAGGAGGGGACAGGGGAGGTGAAGCTCCTGAGATGTCCTGAGTAGTCGGGGTGTAGATATTTTTTTGGGGATGGGTCCAGCTGTCATGACCCTCACATCATAGGAGCAAGGACGCTACTAGGGGCTCCTGGCCTTACATCATATTATTTTGAATCTTCTTCAAACGTCCTAAAAGACCTCGCGATCTACCGAACCTTCACAGTGAATCCCAGTGAGAGATTTGATTGCAAAGAGCAGGCCCTGTTGTACAAAGGCCCCATGTGCAAAGCCAAATGTGTGTGTGTCATACATGCATTGAACAAATAGATCTAATCATGCTACTATATATGCTACTTAAATCTACTTTATAGTGACAGTTGTTTGGCAAAGTTGTTTGGAATCCACAGCCAGATCTTTGCGAGTTGTCCGGCACCTGATAGTAGGCATAGCTCGCGAACAACGCGGATGCCCAAACACACAACACTCCTCGTGGCGGTCGCATCGCTCAAAAGGAAGCAGCGAACAGCAGCGCTTAACATCGGTGCGAGAACTGGTGGATGTGCATCAGTTGTTTCAGTTTATCTCAGCAACCTACGAGTACAAGGACCGAGGCTTTGTTAAGGAACCACAGGATGGTGCCAGTCTGGTTGAATCTACTGTCTTCGCTTTCAGGTATGTTGAGAAGCGAATCACACGGAGCATAGTGGAGCATCTACCGTTGATTCTGTCGTCTGTTTGTGGAGAGTGTTGGGTATTTCCAGTCTTACTTATTAAGCTATACGTCTTGTCGAAGCTCTCAACGTCTCAAACAAAAAAGAACTGTCTTGTTCGCTGCCTTTGGGACCCTTTTCATCTGTCCTGGCACGGCCGCACCTAGTCTGCGCTCCACATTATTCACAGTGTTCCAGGTATCTCCAATGGACAAATGCAGCATCAGGGCTAGGATTGTGCCATCACAAAGATGTCCCACCTGAGTCGGAAGACGGTGAAGGTTGGACGCCGACACCGGCGCCACAGGGCTTGCGGTGATGGCAAAACGGTTCCAACGTTTTCCGCAAAACAGTGACCTCGCGTGCCCTCGGAACAGTGATGCTGGAAATCAACCGAGAGGTCCTGGATTCCGGGCGTTTCCTGAAACAGACCAACAGACCAGGTACCCAAACAATCCGAATTTGTTGCGTACATTGGGGTGGTTTTTAAAGCTGTTGTAAGGGTCAATGTTAATATTTAATCCATGGATTGTTTGGGGTACCAATTTGGGGTATATGCCCATGACGGTGGGCCCAAAGACTGCCGGTCGTATGCGCCCATTGCACCCTACAGAGCAGCGCTACTTCCATCGACGTCCGCGCGTCCGAGCCCGTCCCAAGCCGCCGGAGCCCGGTGATCGACGGTCCCACCTGCTGCCAAAGCATCATGGAGGCGGCTGCCCGCAGTGGGGCCACAATGAGGATCCACATGATGGGAAAGAAAATGCCCGGAGGCGTCCAACCTGCTTCACAGACCGCTTTGCACAAATCAGACCGGTCTGCAGGTGGTGTTTCGGTCAACGTTTTGTTTCATGGTATCAATCAATTGGAACGAATCTTCAACTGGGCAAGCACCGTATGCTGTTGGAGTTCAGATGTGTTCAGTGGATCTTCTATAATTAAGCGTCTTCCACAGCGAAAAGCGCATGTTTCGGTGCTGATGTTTGCTGCAACCAGGTCGCTGGGCATCTGTCGGTCGTTGAAGCCACCAGTGGCTTCTCCTTTGGCCGCTTTCTCGATGTCGGGACGAGAGTTGTCCAAGGGAGAGAAGAGCCGAGATCTGATGCTCATCCTTGGTTGGCAACACCGAACAGATTTCAAGCTCGAAGCAAACCAATGATCTGATGGAATGCATTGTACTGCAATACTCCGCTAGCCCTATTCATTAGTTTTGCATTGAATTGAACAAGCACACAACCTATCCTACTCCATTCAAGTTGAGATGCACCAAACAATCTGATATGATTGTGACGGTCAAAGCTTGGTTCGAACAGGTTGGGTCAGCTGTCAGCTGGTGGTCAATCCTTCAACAAGTTTCCCCGTCTGTTCACGATGTTAAACATCAAGCCTCTCTGGTCCCTGGCACAAAGCAACTACGACTGTACCACCACGGATGAGCAATGTTGGAATCACCCTGGAAAGGTTCGAGGAGGTAGGGTGCACCTTCAGTTGATTCTTGATCTTTGTATAACTATTACATATAAAGAAACTCTATATAATGGGTTGGTTGATTCTTGATGTTGGTCGATCTGTTTTTGTTGGGTGGTCCGACAAAGCAAACAAACCAACATACCAGCGAACATACCGACTGCGCACAGCCAAGCAGCCCAAAGAAAAGTCCAAAGATAGCCCAGTCCTCAGAATTGCCAAGGAAAATGTCCTGAAACAATCTGGCGACTTTTGGAAGAATCTGGTACAGGGCCATCTGGACGCCCCAGCTGCGTCCCAATTCACAGGCAAACAAACACGTTGACCGCAACTAGAAAGCTCTTAGATGGTGATTCTGGAGCAAAAGGACACAGGATTTCTAGGACTCGTTCCCATTGATTTCATGCATTTTTCACTTCAGGCATTTGTCTGAAAGGTGCTTACTATCTTTTGGTAATGAGGTTCTCAAAAGGTTTCAAGCTACCCAATCCACAAAGGTTTAGATCAACCGACAGCAACCCGCGTGTCCCATGATGAGCCACCTGTTCACCAAGCTTGGTATCCACATGTATCCACTGCACCGGTTCCACAGGTGCCACAGGTGCTGAGTATAGGCTCAATTGAGCTGCACCACCCCGGTCTAGGTTATCCAGTTTGCATTGCGGCCATCCACCCATTCTGTTGGGCCTCTCAGATGAGACGTCCCAGTGCATCACCCTACCTGATCTCACTTCGTCGCTCCGATTTTTCCTCCAGGAATATCATAATGGTTATATATAGTTACAGACTTGATGATCGTTTTTTCCCTCAAGCCATCCACGTCATCCGCATGATCAAGAAAGAAAGAGTGCGCAACCCATGCATTTCACCATCTTCCTCTGACTGGTCCACTTCCTTCCAGAAGGAGGCCTTTTTGGCGCGTCTTCAACTCACAAAGGATTTCCTGGACCCCCCTGACTTGGACCCACCCGATTTCCTTCTGAATAAGCCTCCGGTGGTTGAAACTCGGAACTCGTCAAGACTGCATCCAGGGCCGCGAAGAAGGCGCTGATCGCCAGCATTTGCACCGCGATGGCAGCGAGATATTTCCCAACGGCCTGGCACATCGCTTGTTGCCACATTCCGGCGAGACCAAAGGTGTGAGCATCACAGGGTGTGATTCATCCCGAGACCGGAAGGGACGAAGCAACTCGAGATCGCTCACACATGACCACAGCACGTGACCAAAACGCACGGAGAGCGACACTTCTGAAGGTCAGGAGCCGGACACTCTGAACCCTTTCGGTGGTCGGTGCCTGCAAGTTGGCCCACGTGGGATGTCTCATCGATCCTACTACAAGCCCCTATGAACCAACCAATCAACCAACGCTCCGCTCCTGCTCATCAGCTGCAACTCGACCATGATTGGTGTAGCACAACAGTAACGGCAATGTGGGAGGTGCAATCCCACATTCTTCAGTTTAGGTCAAAACCAAACACATCCAAACACATATGCAAGCTCTGTGTGGAATCTCTGTCATGTCTCCAGTACTCTCCACAGAACCATCGGGTGCACCAAGTGGCAGCCTGTGTTTCTCAAACTCAAATATGGCCAACTCAAGACCATAACTCATACATACTAAGTCGCCTAGACTTCGAACACCTTCAATCCGAGAAATCCACTATAATCCACTTGGCAAGTTCAAAAAATGCTATTTCCATACTCAGTGCTCCATCGCGTTCGCTCGAGCTCCACGAATTCCGCCTCGGTGTCAAGCTCCTTCTCGACTGCTTTCATGGTCACGGTCGACCCGACTCCAGTTCGCATCTGCCAACTTCTCAGTCCACTGCCCATGGCAGGGCTGCTCCATCCAACCCGGGTGAGGGTCTTGGTGTCTGGTTGAATCCATGCTCCGCCGGCTCCGCCTCTTTGCAGGAGGAAGCTGCACACCAAGGCCACAGTGGCACATCCTCTCCAGCGGCTTCTACAGCGGCACATGGCCATGGCGTGGGGATCCGCAGTATGCGCCAGGGACAGATCTCGAAACGTCCAGTTCGGACGAAGCCAAAACGCAAAAAGACATGGTGCAAATATGGCAAATCCATGAGACCTCTGCACTGAGATCTGCTGAAATCAGCGGAGCAACATGGTTGCCACTTCACACATCTGATACATTGAAAACCATGTGAAGAACCTGAACACTCAAAACCTTACGAGCAGCTTCCAATACATCTTTTCCTTGTCTGGACCCTCCCTTCAACACTGTGAATCACTTTGACCCGTAGCCTTCATCAAGGTCAACCAAAAGGCAGCCTCCAGGGAAAGGGAAAGGACGAGTACACAACAAGGGCCAACCATCTCTGTTGCACGACCTGCAAGGGATGCAAGGGCCAACCATCTCAGTGTCGGTTCAATCTGCAGCATAGCCTAGAAGAGACACAAAGAGACACACCGTGGAGACTGGGGGAAAACAAGAAAGGCACGGTCTTCAGCGCCAATGGCACGGTCTTCAGGTGTTCACTCGATTTCTGCGTGATGTTGTCCATGGCACATAAAGGAAAATGGAACATACGTAAGCATAAGTATTGCTATTACATACTATAGGTCTATAATATATATATATATTACTCTCGTAATCTCTCGTATATTAATGCTTTTTTGCAGGTTGTTAAGTTAAGGCGGTCTATAGATTCCTGGGCACAAACCAAGAAATGTGGTTTCACAGATTTCACCCCCATCTATAGAAGCTCTTCTGGTGAAACAGTGTGCCGAAGCACCAGCTGAAAGAAGAAACAAACAAAATAAGGTAAGGCTGCCGGCTCTCCAAATTATGCTGAGGGATCTTCTTCCAAGGAACCCGCACAGATTGTGCCACAGAAGAATCCCCCTGTGCAAAATAGCATCAACTTATATAACAACTAGATATTAATAGTAGCACCACAGTGTGAACATGGAGTGGCCTTGACATCTGTATTCGGCCCAGGCGAACCGGCACCATTTCTCGCAGGCATGCCGTTGGGGAAATCGAAACCGCAGCTGAGTCCTCTTCGGGGTGTCCCGAAGACGATCCCCATAAACCAACCATCCATCATCCATCGCATGACCAGGCCGGGTGCTTTCTCAAAGCAGCGCCATGGCACAAGAGGCGCCAGTGATGCCGCCGGGCCGCACCTTCGACACCTCCCCGATCTTGCAATGATGCTGGATCAGCTGATTGTAATGAGTCCTGGCTCCACACGACGTGACGGGGAGATCTCGGAACCGAAGATAGGGGAGCCGTTTTGGTGCGTGTCAGTCCCAAGAATTCCCTTCAAAGATGTTGGTACAAAAGCAATTCTACAACGTTTGTAGAAACCATGACCATCCATGGACCATGGCCTTTCTACTGAGTACGTGTCATGTCACATCTTTCTAACATCCAAAAACAAGGGGCCTCGCTACTAGTGGCGGAGGCCTCGCTACTAGGAGCAAGAAACTAGTAGTAGCTCCTGGCATTACTACTTAGTCACAAATTAGCTATTCGTATAGCAAGGTGCATCGCTAGTAATAACAAGAAGCTACGAACGTAACAAGTGCATCGCTTCTAGTAACAAGTGCCTTACTAGTAGTAACCAGGTTCACTACGAACGGGGCTCCAGAAGCCTTACTACGACCGTAACAAGGTTCGCTACGAACGTAACACGGGGCTCTCTCTGCTAACCGAACTCATTCGCAGCTGTTCCAGCCGAACAACCTTTCCACCCGGATCCCATCCGAATTGCGACGAGTTCGACGAACGACGAACGCGTTCGCTGTGGGGAGGCCTTGAGGGGATCAGCTGCATGGTGACCATCTGCTTCAAAGCTTTCCCAGCCTTGCCAGTGTGAAAGTCCTGGTGATCACTCAATGGTCATAATTATACTAATATATCATATAGTTATAACATAAATACATCAGTTTTTTGAAAGTCCAAGACTATTCAAACATGCAAACCTTCAGGTGACCCGAGTCTTTGGTCACTTCCGACCGTCTTTCAGTGAACTTTACGTCCGGTGGGGCGGATCGGAACGGACGTGACACTTCTCTCTGAACCGCCGGACTTGAGGTCCGATGAATGGAGCTGCTGCACGGATCGGCAGGTCCGATGAATGGGAAGATGCCACCGTGCATCTTGTGTTGGGAAGATGCCATACAAAACCTGAATGACCCCTGAGTGACGAGCAGCTCAAATGCAGATCCCTGAGATCCCTTTGGCTTTCGTGGATTGGTGAGTTCACGAAACATCTCAAAGGATGAGTGGATGTCCAACTGAAGGACATTGGCCAGAAAGAAAACACAGTACTGAGTACTGACATGTACTGACTGATAGAACCTTCAAAAAGGGCCGCTGGATACCTAGAATGATTCCTTTGCAAGCCACTGTCTCTTTTCTCTCCATGTGAGAAACTCAAGGCTGCACCACTTCATCTATCTTCATCCCTTCTCTGGTCTTACTTTGTTGGATCTCTTTGTTTACTGGCCTCTGCCATCTTCCCCGCAGCCAGTAAGGCGGTCACCACTGCATTGAAGCTCACCTGACAAAAATGCATCGTTCCTTGATGGCGCGAGGAAACGCAGGGTGAGAGTTCAAATGCTGAGGTATTCGGTATCCCATATTTTTTGAGGCGTTTGGAAGACATGGGTTGCCCAACATGAGAAGCACTTGCAACCCTGGTAGGTGCTGTTATAACTCATGAAACCATGTAGCCGCCGCCTCATCGGGTTCGCAGCCAAAGTCGAGCATCTGCTGAAGGTATTCTTGTGCGAGCTCCGGCTGCTTCTGTTTCATGAGGCAATCTGGCGCGCATCAAATGGGCAATATGTAGGCAACATGTTGGTTTCGTGACTTATGACATGACTGGGTAGGTGATTGGCAAACATCAGCAAGTGGAAGGATGGGCCACCAGTAGTGAGGAAGGGGATCAGAAAAACTAGTTATGAGGGATGAGGGATGTCCGTGAAAAGAGTGGCTTGATCCACACATGCCAAAATTGCATAGAAAAACATCTCCACCAGTCGCAGGGTACAGTGTGCAATTCTTTGCAGTTCATCCTGTATAGCGTGGCTATCTTGGAAGGGATGTTAAGCCTCAGCCCACATTAGAATGATCATGTTCAGGGGACAAGAAAGGTTGTCTTCTTGAAGAAGGGACGCTTCAAAGTGGGATCTTACAGCTGTTCAGGCCGGTAGAGCCAGCCTGACATAGACAAACATTGAACATGAGAACATTATATACCAGGGGCCCTCACAACCATGAAAAACAAAGGTTTTCACATACAAAAACCATATTTGTTGCTAGGGAAAACAAGGTTTTTGATGGTTAGTGGGGCCCCTGGTACATAAATATTAAAACCCATACTGATACTACATCACCTTAGGTGACAATTGCAAAGGCTTCCGAATTCCATGTGCCTCGTTCTGATCACCACTCCTTCAAACTCCCTCCAAAGGCACTCCATTTTTCCTTCGCTCATCTCGCGCTTCACTCACCATGGGATAGACCTCAGTCCGGAGAATGCCTAGAGCCGCACCAGCTTTTCACGCAGGTCACCCGTCCAAGAGCCGCACTGCTGTCGTCATCTGCCCCGTTTCAAAGAAGCCTGCACACACGCGATGCCGCTAGCGAGGCTAAGACGGTGAAGACATTAGTTGGGCTTCTGCATCTGTGTGAGGTTGTTTCTGCTCGTCTTTGTTCTTATGATTCTGGGTTCTAAGGTCTCTCTAAAGAATAGACTCAATATTCAATACATTTTTCATAGATTTAATTTGTGCATAATTATTGTCAAATTGCGATCGAACATGTAAGAAGTCATCATTGATCATCATTGTGGTTCCTGCATCTGCCGCACCGACATGTCGCAAAGCAACGCACAAAAAGGTACGAACCCCGCAGGGGTTCGCCGCAGCTTCCGCTACGGGCCTGAAATCTTCGGGCCTCTTCTTCAGACATGACCTTGCCTTCCAAGTTGCTTGGCGTAAAGACCTGTTTGGCGCAAAGAGTTCTGTGTTACGCAGAGCTGCCTTTTGAAGGACCTGAGGTCTTCCCGTTGGTCATGGGGTCTTCCCGGCTCGGGCAAGTACCAGGTAGGGTGTTTATGGTTTGTTTGGGCACGAAGCCAAAACCAGTCCGGTGAGCAGAACCGAGCAGGACGCCGACCCCTCAGAGGTCGGGGTCGTCTGCCGACCCTTCGGCCGACCTTGAATGGTGAGTCCACAGAAGATATTCAGAGTACGTGTTGTGTAAACATTATATATATATATATTATTTCGAAAAAATGAATTATATATATTTTATATATACACCGTAGTTGTATACATATAACTATATATACATGTATTTGTTTATCTATATGGGATCTGGTCGAAGTGTCTTCTTCCAAAAAATGGCTGAAAATCGTGTTCACATGGGGGCCCGCTCCATATTTTTTACTTTTGGCGCACACAGCTGGTTAGTGAGGGAAACATTGACCAAACAAGTATTGGCGCCAAATTGCAAGAGGCGTCACAAGCGCTGCACCGTTTTCAGCTGATCTCCGAGCTTCAAGCCATGCTTGAAACAAAGACATGTGACAAGTCAGCCTTGGAAGGGTCCACCGCTGGAATCTGGCAATGTTTGCTAGCGCGGATCTAGTAAGATCTGATCTAGCACAGCGCTAGCGCGTAGCTAGCGCATTTTTCAGCCAGCCACTTTTCAAAAACCTGACGCAAGTCTACCGCAAACCTAGCGTCCAGCTGCAACAGGTGTTGTGTTTAGCTGGGGGCCCGCTACATAATCTAATTGAAAAAACAATATGTATGTTTTCTATTATAGACTTTTGGCCGGACTCCAATATATACTTGTTTGGGTCTTTATTGAGCCTCACACACAAGCACAAGCACATTGAAAGCCTCCGCTGTATACAGCGGTTTCAGAGTAGATGGCACAGAGCCCAAGATGTCCTTTAGATGGGGGTCCGGGGTCCATATAAACCACCTTTTGGGGATTATGTCATCTACTCTGAAACCACTGTAATTGTTGTAATCTCCAACCAATAGCGTTGGTGTCTCTTGCAAGTGATCAAATCACCTTTATATGCGATCCGGTTAGACATGCTTGCATTTGTATCCACCAAAAGCATCCAAAAGCGAAAACCAACAAGAAGACTTCTGTCGTTCCACGTCTCTGTCGCTAGTTCACTCACTCACTCCAACCAAAAGGACTTGGGCTTCCAATTGCAAAGAGTAAACATTAAGACCGGTCCTCCCAAATCAGCGTCGGCTCCGAGTGGTCCTGGACGTCTGAAGGCCCGGGCGAGCCAGTCGTGACGGGTCCCGGGTCCTGGCCTTTTCAGAGGCCTGCTTTTTGGCTTGGAGCTTTGCAGCCTGTGAACGCTTTCCCGGCGAACAAGCCAAAAACATGCGTTTCAACAAACGAACGCAGCGTTCGTGCGTTCACGGGCGTTACAAAAGAAATTTGGCCTGACGTGTTGTATGTAAATTACGATAGATCAACGAACGAGGAGCTTGCATGATCTTCCCAAATGTCTCCAGCTTCGGTGTAGGTTCCAAAGCCCATTGGAGGTTATGTGTTGACCGGCAAAAACTTTTGGAGGAAGGTTGAACCCTCGTGAATGTCCATCTTTCCTCTTGGGGGAGGCCAAGTGGGCCAAGTGTGTCTCAAGAAAGGCAAGTCTCCGCATCTTGCTAGAAAGCATGAGCTGTAAGCGCCATGAGCACCATGCGCTGTAAGCACTGTAAGTGCCTCGATCACCTGCTTGCAAGGTTAATACACATGCTGTGCCTCTCTTCTTTCTCGGTCCTTCCTCTTTTCCAAGATCCGGGCAGTCTCCTCCAAAACACGGACCGCCACTCACGGACCGTTGGGTGGAGTCTGGGTGGATCCTTGGAGGCCCAACACATCCAACGCGTCGTAAATGGTTTTCACACCAAGCACGGCCCAATGGGCTGCGGACTCTCTCTTTTTGCGACAAAAACATATGAAAACACGGAGAATCACAAGCCTGCAATCTTGCCAACCACCAACCACCCCACAGTTGGAGGCGAACCAAGGAACAGCTGACCGCCTAACTACTGCTGTTCTCATGAGCCCTTGATTTGGACCCCCCAATGGTACCAATATGTACCAATGCACCACCACCCCACAGTTTCTGATATGTGTGTGTGTGTTCTTGATTTCGAGAGATGCATTAGGTCATTAGGTCCTGCATTAGGTCGTAGTCCAGCGAGGTCCATGAAATCAAGAAGCCCATGTTTCTCTTAAATGCGGGAGATAAATGAAGCGGCATTGCAATGTGTGTACTTGTTGGATCAACATGGATCAACACACGCAAATCAGCTCGAAACCTGGATTCGAAAAACTTGGTGCAAAGTCCAAACAGATTTGACTAGGTGACTACAGGGTGCCTGTAGAGTCTCTGGCATTCGAGGCATCGTTTCGCAAACGCTTGCCAATGGCTCCTCCTTCTTGATGACATGTCTAGCCTGAGGCTGGCCTGCTGCAATCGAGGATCATCTAGGATGCAAGTATATATCTTGTGAGAAACCCGCATTTATCGATGCTAAAGGAATTACTTCTGCAGCATGATTTAGGGCTTCTTCCATCAGCGATGGGAATCTTATGTTATTTTTTCAGGACAAACATCCGAAACATCTGCTGCACCGTGGCTGCACCTTGGGAATTTCGGACAATCACGAAGCTGACCTGCAGCACGCAACGGCAGGAGGTGCATGCACAAAAAAGCCAGGTGATCGTCGGCCACCATCTGATGGACAAGAATACCCTTGTACCCCCCTTTAGCTTCATATGTCACATGTTGACGTGTTTATTTTAAGTACTGTCAGCTCATCCTGGTCTCCAAAGTCCTGCTGATATCCTTCATGTTATATAGTATGCACACATATAAGTAATACATATTATACAATAATTGTAATAGTATTAATTAATACACACATAATAAATGTTTCCCGGGATCAGGTTTGCGGAAAAGAAAACAGCAGAGCCCCTGATTCGGTGGGGACAAGATCTTTGGCCTTGGAAGGCTGTTTTCCTCTGCAAGTGTCCATTCCACTTCGATTTTCTTGGATGGAGGGTAGTTCTGTATCACTTCAACATCTCATAGAACCAGGCAGAATGATGGCCAGCCTCATCTCCCTTTGCCAGGCCAAACATTTGCCGCCTGCAATACATCTGCGGGGAAAAATCAAATGAATTGAGATGAATTGTGGCTAGTGCTTCTGACTGGTCTGAATGAAGCTGAGAGATTCTGACATATTCTGACCAAGCACAGAAACAAACAAACATTCAATTCAAGCAACAACAAAACTCCTATATCCATCAACTACCACATCTCTCTCCCAAATTCAAACAACATCGGAACTTGCCTGTGGATGAAGACGTCCATTCCGTACCTAAACTTTGCGTCCTCGCACTCGATGAAACCGAATCCCTCAGCCGAGCTGCAGCTGCCACACACAGGACATCATCTTCCTAAAAGTTTATAGTGCATATATAACATATACATATATACTGTTGTAATACTATATATATATACAGTATACATACAACATTATGATGATCATCCATCATCCAACCAAACCTGCAATCGCATGGGATGAGTGTTTCAAACAATCAAGGAGCCTAACTCTACTGGAGGCCAATCCCGACCTGCGGATGTGACTGGGTGAGCTCAAAAAAAAGCCGCACTCGATCGGATGTGGCGCAGAACCATCGCCTGACTCTCATTGTAGTCTCGAATCAGTCCTCGGAGCCAAACGCCCCGCCACGCCCCCACCACCGCGAGGTGAAGGCGGGCGAGGTCGAGTGATGATCCAGTCATCGGAGGCATCTCTGACTGACACGTGCTGTCTGCCAATCTGACTCCCAAGCCGCCGATCCCAAGAGAAATTATGAACCGATCCCAAACTCCACCGGTTCCACTCTCGTCTTTCATGGTCTGTGATCCTGGTAGTTTCCTGGTAGTAGGTATATCGTGATCCTCGAAGCCTCCACCCCACGTGAGTGGGGAGGTCTCTCTGATTCGAGTTGAAGTAAGTGGACCGACCAAGTCGAAACTCGGAGCGACCAGCTTGGATGGAGTCTCTGTATTCTCTGTGTCCAGTATAGTGGCACAGACCATAAGAAAGGCCGTGCAGGGATGTTGGAAAGTCAACCTCAATTTATCTGCGAGTAAACATTTGGCTGCTTGTCAGGTTATGTGAGGAGCGGTCGCAACTTATTTGTTCTTCAAGTAAAGAAGGGGTGTTGTTGGTTTTGAAGTAGACCTTATCACTCTACAGAGTTTTGTGCACAAGCCTACCCCTCTCCACTAACTTCTATTCTACTAAAGTGGTATTTGCATGTCTTCACAAGGTTTAATCGTGACTCATGCAGTTGCCTGTCAAGAAACTGTACTATGGACCTTGATGGACCTTGTGTTTGTCTTGAAAGGGTGCTATATAGCTGTGCAATTGCCTGTGAAAACGTGGTATACAGATTATACAGCGTCATCTTTGACCATAGTGGAACATAGTACAGTTTTCAATTACGTCTCGATTGACTTTGGGTGGTGCCCAAACAACCATTCAGTGACGCCCGCACATACGGTTGGAAAGAGGTTCAAAGTTCAAAGGGTAGTAAGCTAGATTTCCTCCTCGATCAACTGACTTGCTGCCATGGTTGTGAGCTTCAGTTCAGTCAAGATATTCTGATGCCAAGGCACCATAATATCTTTCTTCTGTGTCCACCGGAGCTGGCGCTGGAGGCTCCTGGATCGTTTTGGTCAAAGCAAACTATGATAATGAGTCCGTTGTGAATCAAAACCATGGTTGTTAATCAAAACCATGACAGGTCATCTTTTCATGAGAAGATTCTGTCAATCAAACCTGGCAGCCTGTCTGCAGAATTCCATGAATTGAAGCGCCAAAACAAACAAGTTCTCTGGCTGTGCATGAGCAGTGCTTACAGGTTTGATGTGACAATTATACTATATATTAAGTATATTAATACATTACATAATATTAATATATGATTACATGTATGGAATATTTACCTACATTGACCCTTAAAACAGCTCAACACCATCACCCCAATGTGGGCAAATATTCGAGTCTCATGGCGGATTGTTTGGGGATATACATATATATATATCCCGAACATATTTATATATATATATATCCTCAACATTCCATGTATGCCATATATGCCTACATATATACCACCCCAATGTAGGCATATATGGCATACATTGGAGTGTCTGGGTATTGCATATATATATATAATTGCTTCTAGTTTCAGTTCATCGGTAAGGGCCAATCTTGCGCTCAGAATATAAACTTTCACGATTCTGAAGCTTGAGAATCTGAAAGAGGTGGGGAGTGATCTTTCAAACTTAGCTTTTGGAAGAGCGATCCATCGTGGAAACAGGTAAGTAATGATTGACCTCAAGTGCTTTGGAGTGGAACCCATGGCCGATTGGCTCATACAAGGACTCTCTTGGCGAGCAGCCTTTGTGGAGCATGTTAGGTCAGTGTTCTGAGGAATCTGCCAACATCCGCCAAAAACTATAATAAAAGCTATCAAAACATGTTGAGGGGCGAACGATGGTGTAACAGGTCGTGTTCAGTATTGGTTAAATTGGTTTAAGGGCTTTCCCTGGCCTAAAACCGCCAAGCACTTCTTGCTCCACATCTGCAGCCTCCCGTCCTCCGCTTTCGCGGTGAACGCAGCCATGGCCTGCATTTGAGCCATCTGCATCTGGGCCTGAGGCGGGATCTCAATGGGCAGGTTTAGTATTGGTGGAGATTGTCTTGGAGGTTCTAATTTTCGAACTGTTCTGCATGTCTTATTTGCGTAGGGGCGGGGTGATTCTTGTTTCTCTCCTGCCACCCAGTGCAGAATCTCTTGTGGTTGGCAAGTAGCTGCCCCTGCGGGTTGTGAAGTTGCCGCATGGCCCAAATTGACCACTCCACTAATTGAACACGGGTCAAGATGGTCCACATGGCCGACATGCAGAATGTAACATACATGACGTACATTGGTTCAAACAGGTTCAGGGCTGATGTTGCAGGATGTTTCTTTTCAGATTTTGAAGGCCTGTTAGGTGTTCCAGCCCCCGCAAAGCAAAAGCATAAAAAAGGGAGACTTACACGACCAAACAACCAGGACAACCGCAAGCACATCTCAAAAAAAACGACGCACCCTGCTTTATCCTGCTTTGCTCGGCTTTACTGATCCAGAACGACGACGGCTTGGAGACGGCTCCTCTTCTTTCGTGGAACACACACAGAGCTTGGGTTCTGCGAGGACCTCTGCATGGAACTTCTGCAGTTCGAGCGACTTCAACGACTTCATCCCTGTCTCCGACTTCAACGACTTCATCCCGAGCAGCGAATTGGATCGGATTCATCCCGCAGCCTCCACCTGAGAGGGGCGACCGGTTGCGTCTCGCAACTGGTTGCGTCTATGATCCTTACCAGTGGGGGAGTGACATTGCTAAGAGATATCACACATGCAACACGCAACATATTGCAGCATGTCACCTATGTTGGACAGTCAGGGATGGAAGTGCATGCGATTCTTTCATGGAGGCTCCAAAATTGCTTCTTAGAGAACCTCACAAAATGGGTACGAGCCTACGGATTGCCCAAGATGTTGTGTCTGGAAGCACAGCTGGTTGCGGCTGCATGAGATCTTGGTGGTGCGGCCGCTTTTTCTTCCGCAAACGTCTAAAGGATTTTCACAACTATAGACTATAGGCAAATTCAACATGTGAATGCCGTCCATGCCGAACAAACTGGAGTCATGTTGCCAATTTGTTCCAATTTGTTTTATTCACATCCCAGTAGACCAGTTCAACAAGCTGCCAGTGGCCCGACAAGCTGCCAGTTCAACATCCCAAGAACATCAAACGTTTTGCCCCTGTAGTTGCCTCGTACCTCTGTGTTTGATGTCAAAATCTCTTTTGATCCTCTTTTTCACCTTGAGGAACATAAATTGATACTCCGCTTGCAATGCAAATGCAAATCACAATAATGTTGGATCTCGATTAGTAAAGGGGTCCTCTATAATGCTAAAATTTTCCAAATTTATTCAGACCCCCATGTTGGAAAAATGGGTCCTGAATAATGCTAACTTTTTTGGGGGACCCTAAATGTTTAAATTGGACACCTATAATTAATAAGGGTTTGAATTCCTTCTGAGGCCAATGATTATGATTCATTAGCTGATATAGCTTTCTCTAGGTTTCTTCAAAACTGACAGCTGACCAAAACCACCAATTCCTAATTAAACCCTTTATAAATCATTGCTCCTAAACAAATTTTCAAGGTAGTAGACCAGGAAGGCACCTGATCCTCAATAATAGATTTGTTTTTGGGTTCTCAATTGTGAAAAGTTTTTTCCACTGGAGAAAATGCGCATGGAATGTTCCTTTACTTAGCTCCTGAGGCCCATGATTATGATTCATTAGCTGATATAGCTTTCTCTAGGTTTCTTCAAAACTGACAGCTGACCAAAACCACCAATTCCTAATTAAACCCTTTATAAAACATTGCTCCTAAACAAATTTACAAAGCACCTGAGAAAGGAAGCTGAATACAATCTATGAAAGGAAAATGAATACTACAATCAAGTACAAAAAGGAATTCTCACAGGAATCCAGATTTGTTTTGGTGATAGTTTTTTATAGAGGGTCTCCTCTTTGTTTGAGAGGGGGGGGGGCCCTTTACTAATCAGGATCGCACATTACACGTCTATAGTATTCTATAGTTAGTTAGAATCCTGAAACGATTGAATGGGAGAATGGACCAGGTCAGGAAGTGGACTCTGCCTACCCCGTCCGCTCAGCCAGTGACTCCATGGCAAACCGCAACCTGAAAGCCGACGAGTTTCGAAGACCTAGGAACCGTCATCGAAGAACCTTTGGGGAGCTCAAACCACATGAGTTTAGCCTTGTTTCTTGGGAGGATCGTTTCTTGAACTTCTTGTGTTGAGATCGCTCGATCTCGAAGACTTGAAGCTTTTGTACCTGACACAGGTCGCCATCCCATTCAATTCATCCGAAAAAAAAAAAAAAAAGCGGAGCTGCGGGTCTGCTGGCCACATCTCTGATGCATCTAGTTCCCTTCAGGTTCCAGTGGCAAAGGGCAGGCGAGGAGTGATCATGCTGGACATCCTCAGACCCCGTATTCTACCTTACCTTACCTAATTTAGTGTGTGTATATATATTAATAAACCCATGCAGTCATTTTGCAGTAGATTGAATCCGGAATGAGGAACATCAGTTCAAGTGTTCGCATCTATTTGTATTTTATCTTGGCTAGCTATACTAGCTGCTAGCTCATCAGTTCAAAGAGGGAGGCCAAGAAAAACTTGACTCAACACGGCCGTGCTCTGCCTGGTGCACCCATGGCAGCAGACTGGTCCAGACCTCGCGTGCGCACAGATCAGCTAAAAGCATGCATCAAATTGAGCAACTGGAAAGTCTTTTTGGAGTAAAGACAATCGGATTCTTGGAAAGTCAGTCGCAACAGCGTCCGGATTGCTCTCCGGATGGACGTTGTTTGGGGGTCTAGCAAAGTACTTGTTGCACACTATCCAAAAGTGCTCAATCAACTCCACCAAGACATGCATTTTATGTCGTCCACCTTCTTCATGTTGCTGGTCATTTTCCGAACATGCTGACTCCACTGATGGCTCCTTATCCTATGCACCCTATGTTTGGTGGAGAAAAGCAAATGCCTAGGTGAGCCAATCGTCCTGCATCAGTTCTTGAAGCTTGCCTTCCCTTGAGGGTTATAATTTGAAGAAAATGTTCTGTGTATATTATTAATCTATAACTCGACTTAACAAACAACAATATAGATAAGTAAATAGATATATATATATATACAGTATATAATATGGATTTCTTCGCGCATGATTTCACACCTCACTACCGTCCTCCACCTCTGCGCCGGGTTCACCCGCCGCCCACCCACCGGAACCAGCGGCCGGAACAGCTGCCACAGGCACCACCGCTACCGCACCTCCGACGGGCCCGGCCCGTCCACCACACCGGTCCACGCGCGGTGACATCGACGGGTCGCTTCTGCTGTTTCTTTGGAGAAAGGTGAAGCTCCGTTCGTAGCTTCTTGTTCCTAGATGCCTAGTAGCGACGCCCCTTTGCTCCTAGTAGCGTCCTCTCGCCTTGCAGGTGACTTGGCAGGTTGATGACCCCAAAACGGACGGATGGTTCGAATCGCCCGTCTGGGTGTCGTTTGTCGGGTCGGTAGGGCAGGGTAGTCCAGCCAGGAGCCCCTAGTAGCGTCCTTGCTCCTAGTAGCGATGCCAGGAGCCCCTAATGGCGTCCTTGTTCTTAGTAGTAAGGCCAGGAGCCACTAGTAGCCTCGTCCTGGTATGTTTCGTTTCATATGTTTAGGGGTCCGGGGTCTGTCTGTTGTTGGTGAATGCCCGTATGCCTTGGATGGGTGATGAGGCTCTCATGAGCGAGTCATATTCATTCAATGAAAGATACGCTACTAGTAGCTTCTTGTTACTAGTAACGATGCACTTGTTACTACTAGCTTCTAGCTACTGGTAGTAATGCCCTTGTTACTAGTTGCTCTAGGAAACAAGGAAAACGCTCCGTCGGTGAGTTGTGTTCACCTTGCCTACTTCAAATGAATTAGGAATGTGCATCGTCATCATTGCATTGCCCAGCACTTTGTGAGCAGTATATAGAAAAAGATTGAAAAGGACATGCTGCGCCAACCCAAGTCTATCAAACCCTATACTGAATGGCCTTCCACTTGTCTTATTCAACCACCTGATCATGATCATGTGCTTCTGATACTGCAGATGAATGAGATGCGGCAGCAGCTTGACTTCTCGATTTCTTAGGGGCTGTCAGATTGACTCCAATGTAGCTTGACAACCGATCTGTCAAAAAGAAATTGGCCCATCCCGACAAAGCTGTTTTCAGCTGCCAATCTTTCACCGGTGAAAAATCCTTCACGCTGGACTCCCTGGCCCTGGCCCATGGCCCGCGCTCTCCGCGATACGCCGCTCTGAAGCCCCGGGCGAGCCGCCCGGGTCTCGGTGGCGCGACCGCGCGGAGGGACCGCAACATCCCTAGGCATCCACTGCCACCTTCTCCGGTTAGGTACGACTGGACCCGACCCTGGCACTATGTGTCTCCAATTGTCTCCAATCACATTCTCGGGTATGTGGATCCCTAGGGATAGTCCACCAAAGTCATGGAATCATGGACTCATGGACCACTTAATTACACTCCCTGGAACTAACACGGTTCTGTGATGTTACGTGATGTTACGCATTTCCCCCGAACAAAGACCATGAAATCCTCTACAAAGAGTGGGTGCATTGAATAGCCATCCACTTCCGTTGTTCAGAGAGAAAACGAGGTCCCCTTCACTTCACTTGACCACAGCAAACATCACGCAGCGAACATCACGTGATGGACTTCAAGACCGGTCTGCCGCACCGAGTCGATCGAAGACCTGTCGAACATGGTGAGACATGGTGAGGGTTCCTTCAGTGACTGGTGGAGGGTTCCTTCCAGGACAGTCATGAAGAACAACTCATGATTCATGTTTTGCCAGCACAAAGAGGGGGAGATGTTTCAAGACTTGGTGGGGTTACCCCCTTGTTCCTTTGTGAAGAGTAGGTTAGGATAGGCAAACACCATGTGGTTTACCCACGGCACATGATGAAATCACTTTGTGCCCACCCAGGCCCCTGCCTGGCCATGTGCCAAAGCCAGCTCCGAAGCTCTCCTGTCATGAGGGAGAGTTGCCAACGTTCAATCCCCTAGGCTTGGACACGAAAAGAAGTATGGCTTTTCTGGCACGAACAAAGTGCAGATTCCGGAGAAACACGGACCCCCCAAGAGATGCTTAGAGTACCAGGAATGACACGAACGACCAGTACTGAGTACCTGGATCCAGCGATACGCCGTCCTGGAGCCGCTGCCGCTTGCCTGCAGGCTCCTGGCGGTCAACCGTTCACGGCCAACCGAATCAGATGATGCGCCGAGATGAACGGAGACCTGGTCCGTTCTTTTGTTTTGTAATCGATTTGGGAAAACATCAAAATTATTTTGTCATCCTTCCCCATCTAGATGTACCTTCTTGCATCACACCTCCGAGAACTTCTCAGGGTCTCTTTCGTAATCAACATCTTCATTTTTCTCACACAATAATGGTACTTGTAGATGGCAAGCCTTCAAGTGAAAGTATGATGTAACGCAAATATCCTCACATAAGAAAAACTCAAACAATAGGCACCTGGGTCTTTATGGGGATGTGTTTCCATATAGAAAAACAACACGCACCCAATGAAGTGGTTTCAAACAACCAAAGCCAGCCTGCAATGAGCTAGGGCCACAAAAAGCGGCCTATGAAGGGTCCAAACAGGGTATATACGCTGTATATTAACTATTGGTACACTCCTTGTAATTCCAGGGAGTGTGTATTATCATTTTAATACATACAATAGCATACAATAATAGTACAGCGCTTCGCGATCTGTCGAACGGAACTTCGAGTTTGGGTTCTCCAACTGCAACTTCACCTCTTGGCCAAACAGCAACACAACAGCCTCTCCAGTTGGAGGGGAATGCCAAAGCTTATGATCGTTTTTCTTGGAATAGTGGGTTGCCCCTATGCAGAGTTTGATGTGAGGGATAGGTTAGAGAGGATGTCAATATCTTGAAACGCCAAAAGCAAATGTGGAACGAAGTATCGATGGTCGAGATCCTCTCTTGTGGACCTCTTGGAACATCTAGTCCAGGCAAAAGCACTCTGGAACATGTTCAGATTCTTGATTCACATCACTACACCCATTGGAGAGCGATCATTTTCAGTGATGTTGAAGTGGGTCATTGTTTTGTCCCCAAACCTGGGTTCACATGATCAAGCTATCGACTGACCCAAACGTTTTGACCCGAATTGTTACACACTCACCATGAAGAAAAAGGTATATAGACTCCCAAATAGATAGATTACAGTATGATCGATTATGATAGATCCCCACTCAAACAGCCTTGGACACCCCGTGCCATCCGAACCGAATTCTCCACCTCATCTTCCCATCACCGACACCTCGGCCCAAACCTCCAGCCGCACCTCGACACCTGGGAGTTGACCCGGCCATCCTTGCATGGCGCCTGGGGACTCGAGCACGGGACTCGAGCACGGCTCACTCACGAGCTGGGAGCCGGAGCGGATCACCGGGTGATCCGACGAATGCCTATACTCCTGGTGGATCCACAGATATACCGAAGCGAAGGCGAGAGACTATTGATGTAGGTGCCAGGCCCAGTCGTACCTTCGAAGGTATGTGGATCTTGGGGTCGATTGAGATTTTCCAAGACTCAGGTCATAATACAGTTACAACATCCTGGTGACCACACAAGGAACATCAAGGAACCATGGCATGGTGTAAGGTTTGAAGCGTAACATACCAAGGTTCCTTGTGTGCTGGTCGAAGCCACAGGGAATGGCTGATTTGTCGCTGACTGAGCATTTGAGAGGGTCAAAGGGTTTGGAGCAGTAGGGACAACTTGACGTTAAGCCATTGTGGCAAGGCCACTCCCTCCCCCCAAAAAGAAAATAGAAACAAATCACGTCCCACATGATCATACTATATCATACTGATGCGCTTCTCTGGTCACTTTACTACTAGGGCTTCCAAAAAAGAATTACTCCCACTCTTCCACTCTAAGGCCCCTGACATGAGAAGCGCGCGACCGACCAACTCCAGGACGACCGTCGGTGCCGCTGCGCTTAGAGCCACAGCTGCGCCATGTGCTTTGTAACGGCATCCTGAAAAGCATCCCCAAACCGGTGTAGAAAAACACAAATGCATGCAAATCATACATACAGCTTGTGAATGCCCATGGTGTGATACTACATTCATGATGTAACTATCCATGAAAATGCCATAAAATAGAAAACGCTAGTCCATGTGAGGTTCACTTTGTTCTACTTACTAGCTCGACTTGAAGAGTTTTCTATTTCAGGTGGTCTGCACACGCTACTTATGAAAAGAACACTCCAGTAGATCTCTCGCGGGAATCAAAGCCCACACCAAATCCAACCGCCACAGCAATCAACATTTGCAGGGCCCACAAAGCAGCGAGTTGTAGCCTGAGTGCCGGAGCATTCGTTGGCAGTAATCCGTTCCTCCATGCATCGCAGAAGAACCACCACCAGCTACATTGGGCTTAAACGCAATATAATCATCTGGTATGGTTTTCTGATGCCTGAGATGTATAGCTAGTGTATGGTTTGAAACCGACTTTTAACAAACTGGAAGGACTGACCCCAGGCATGTTGAGTGGCAGGTCTGGTAAATATCCTCATTTGCTATCTGCTATTGATGAACAAACTTCAGCCATGCCATGCGAGCCATGTGGCAGGATGTCTTCCTGAGACAGAACAAGATTAATGTGGAGGCAACACTGCGCGGCCTCACTCGTGAAGTAGGTACTGTATGTCAACAGAAAGGACTATATGAATTTGAAGTGTATAGCAAAACTCACAACATGTTGACGGCTCTGCTTATTGGGTTGTTTTCCAAAAGACTAGGTCCAGGGGCTTCAAGAAGCCTATTCAATGAAGCGCCAAATGATGCCACATGCTTTTACTAAGCTGGGAAGTTGCCAGGTTATGCCAGGTTCAGGTTGCTAGGAGGTTGCAGCGTCTGAAGGCCAAAGTCTACTTCCAAGTTGGTGATAGGTCCCGGCACCTGGTTGACTTGGCTTGGTTGCCTGCCTGCCAATATTGTTGCATTGCCCGTTGTCAAGTCGTTCCTCAAAAGCCAGGCAAGGTGCAACAAGAATCGTACAGTACATATCGGCTTTGCAACCCTTGAGACCCCATACTGGCGACAGACCCTGCAAATCGTGGTTTATCTCCTCCCCAGTTGAGGTATCCAAAGGATCAACGTCGTCACACTGCACACAGCGACGGAGCCATGCTCAGGAACTTCCACAGCCAAACAAGGAACATTGCACATCCGCAGCCATCTGCTTCGAGTTCATCGTCTCGAGCCAATGGACGCTGGACCTTCGAGTGTTTTTGTTCACACATCACAGCCCAAGCAAGTGGCTCTGGACAGCATAATTACAGAGCGTCAAAGAGGGTCATGCTTGTCTTATGATAAATAGATAGATAGATAGATAGATAGATAAATAATTAGCGCAATAGTTTCTAGATCTCTTGCCGAAGGACAACAATCAGGCCTGTTAGGTCTGTTATTCATGGAGGATACCTTGCACTGTGCTCAACATCATTGCTGGAATTGTCACCTAGATGACACCTAGCGTGGGAGGTTGAGATGTGAAACAACATGTGAAACGTGCATGTGTTTAGAAAAAACAAAGACACGTGTTGCAACCACCGTCGGTATGTGTTCCTGATCATTTTGCTCTGCGAAGAACGCCGCTGCCTCCAATCGCCAGCCCGCGCGAAGCCACGCACCAAAGGCCTGGTAAGAGTGTTGGTAGATATCATAACCACATATAGCGATATAACTAACGACACAATATATTAAGTTATATATATATATATGATATGTACATATATTATATACAAAATTGTTAATTGTATTAATTTAATGTAATTGAATATAATTCATTACCCCCCCTATAATCTAACCTGGAACCTCAGAATTGACCTGTGGAAGACCCTCTTCCTCTACAACCCAATGGTTCAGGGGGTTCCATGTGGTCCGAATAGCAGGGGAAGAACGTCACACTCAGTCTTGAGTCTTGAGGGTCTTGGGGGAAGGCGCCTTCTTGACGGCTGTGGAACATGGCTTCTGGGCTCCGGCCCTATCCTACAACATCCCACAATCCCGAAGCCAAACACAGGTCGACTAGGAAGATTGGCTTCTCCCATAGGTTCATCTTCCGAAAAAGAAAGAGCTACGTACAACTGATGCCGGAAAAAACACTTGCAACCTCAACGACCCTGGACCCCAAAAAGAATCATGGATCACATCATACCACTCCATAAATAAACTAGTTAGTGGTTCTGCACCTGTCAATCCCTTTAAGACTTAGAAAAGGGCTTTGAGGGAACCACAAATTCACCTTCACACCCGAACCTCTTTATTCACAGCAAACACTCCTGCACGCGGTGTGAATTCAGTGCATGGACCTGTAGGACTCGCTCGTGGGCTGCAAGGCCTGCCAGGCGGACCCTGCAATGCCCTGCAGGCTCTGGCCGGAATAGGATACCCCTCGCAACATACCCCCTGAGTCGAAATAGGATATGAGTCGATCCTTGGACCCTGCAATACAATACCCGGACCAAAGAAGTGTGCTGTATTAGGCCAGAACAAACAGGCTTGGATCACCAGCTTTGACCAATAGAAGGCCATCCATGACGGCAGGAAGTTGGCTAAAACGGACCTAACCAAGGATCGAATGGTGGTGGGTATCGAAACTTGTTGGTGTTGGCCGTGAAGGTGATGGGCCATCGGCGATCACCCAAAGATCCTGCTGTATGGAGCTATATGGAGATGCAAGGAGAATGTACATCATCGTAATAAGCGGGAGATTCTGCCTCCACCCTGAGCCCCATGGATGATCCATGGGCCTCTAAGCGTTCCAGTAGGATTCCAGTCACTGGGACAATTTGATTCCAGTCACGCCTCTTACTTGGCCTCACGTTCAAGCACGTTCGATGGACACAGATCGGACCCCTTTCGACCTGCCTTTGCGATCATATCTTCAAAACACCTGGTCAGCATGGCAAGGAGAAGGAAGCTGCTTGATGAAGCTCTCACAGAGGTCCGAATGCTTGACTCCTAAGTTATCCTATGCAACGCTTGAGGTGTGTGTTCAATGACACATGTTTCCTGTGGAACTTGGCAGGTCTGGTCTTATCCTTCACAATTGGCAAGCCCTTCCGTCTTGACAACGGGGGACCGCACCCGCCAAAGAGTCAGGCAAACACATGTAACAATCACAGTACGAACAAATTGATTTTGGGGTCCCTCATTTGGAACACCCCAGATGCTCTCTTGTCCAACGATCTCATCTAAGACAACATCGAGTTTCCCCACAGGCACCTGCAAGCAGCTTTGGCTCGCGACATCGGCAAAGACCATTTCATGGCACAGCCCTGGCCACTGCGCGAAGTCAGCCGGAGCTAGAGTCTGAAGTCAGCCGCCAACGAACATCTCGGGATGGGCCTAAATGGACATCAGGAATAGATTGGGATTTAGGTCCAGCTGACTTGGATACTTCCACATGTTGAAAAGGACCAACCCGAAACCCAACCCCCAGCCCTCAGGCTTGATTCATTGAGTGCTGACTACAACCTGCACTACAGTGAAAGTAGTTTGCTTAGATTGCACAGCTCCCTGCCAAAGAGGGTTTCAGGCAAAATACTTGTTGAGGTTTCAGCTATCTGCTCTAAATTTAGAGCTTGGGCGTAGTTGGCATGGCCCTTTCCCCAGCCGCCCTTCAGCCTTTGGTGCGCGTACGTGTGCAGCCAGTACCTGTTGTGCATGCGGCCGCTTCGGGGAAAGTTGCTATACACTATATAGACCAACTATCTTATATATATATAAGTCTAAGAAGTGTATTGCATGGTGTTTACTTTCACATCCATTTCCTATATGTTTCACATGTAGAATGAGACACTCGAGAGATCCAGCTTGTGCATGCTGGCGGTGTGAGAGCCAGCTTTCACAATCCGCCCCACAATCCCGCATCCCGAATCCCCAGGGATGCGGGATGCGCGCTCCAACACATGAGTGGATCAAACCAAGCAACTGCTGCACCTCCTATATACACCTGGAACCCAACTGAGCCCTGTTTTGATAGGAAGTTGGGCCATATTTGGGGTGGTTGGTGGTCCAAAATAGAGGTCGAGCTCAGGTTCTAGGCATCTGTATTCAATCTGTCACATGGGAAGATCCTGGTCGCACCAGTCTTCCAAGACCGTCGTACACACGTCGACGAGACCGTCGTTTCCATCGGGACGAAGCACCTTGTTGTAGCACTCCAGGTCTGGTTCCAGCTGGGCCGTTCGGGCCCGGTCCAACCAGACCTGACGGGCGGGTGCTACAGGCCGGTCCGCATGGAGCTACAGGCCGGTCCGCCGGAAGGGTCGTTGTAAGTGATGGGATCCAAATCAAGGGGTAA